CCCAAGAGCATCTTCACGACTTTCACACTCCCACTCTCGGCAGCCAACGAGAGCGGCGTTTGGCCGTATCTGGTGTCTGGTGTATTGGTATTCACATCGTTCCGTTTCAGCAGCGCCTCCACAACTTCTTCGTTTCCCTTCTGGACGGCCAAGCAGAGTGGAGTCTGGCTGGTATAAATAGTGGGGGTGTTGGGGTTGACATCGCCCCGTGCCAATAACATCTTTACGACCCCCCCGTGTCCATTCAGGATAGCCAACAAGAGTGGCGTTCTGCCCCGTTTGTCCGCCGTATCGGGTTTGATATCGTCCTGCTCCAATAGCATATTTACGGCTTCCTCGTGCCCGTTCCTCGCAGCCCATGATATTGCGGTGCTGCCTGTGGAATCAGTCGCATTGAGATCCCATTCCTTCAACTGCGCCAAAGCAGTCATTATACTCATGACACCGAAGTATGCTGCGCCATGGACTCCCGTAAACCCCTTAGAGCTAGCCCGGCTCGGGTATTCCGCGTGGAATAGGAGTAGCCTTGAGGATATATGTTCATCGTACCCGCTGAGTAGCTCCAGCGCAAGTGGCACCACCCTCTCACTATTTTCCCTTCTAGCATGTATCCCCCAGTAGACAGAAGCATACTCGAGGAGGGGCAATGGTGAGGTAGAGGGAAGAGTAGGCGGAAGGTCCCTAACGCACTGAAAGTTGAGGTAGGTCAAGCAGACCTCAGCAATCATCGAATGTGGGTTATGAAATAGGCCGGGATTATCGGATAGGTGCTCTCGGAGAGTGAAATGAACTGGTCGGACAGTAGATGAGGATGCCTCGACTGTGGTAAGGCCTAAAGAGCACCCTAGCACTATATCTATTGCGGGGATATTGCCATTATTCAGGTCCAAAGATCCCTCCTCCACTCCTAGGGCGTGGCATATCTCGTCAACGCGTAGCGGTCTCTCCGAATGAGATACCCACATCAAAAGCTTCATGCCGAGCTCTGATCTGCCGCCCTTCTGCGCCTGTACCCGTGCTAACGTTGCCGTGTACGCATCCCCCAGACCTTTCCCCTTTGTCATCTGGGAAAGCTTTCGTTTTCTCTGGTGGAGTGTCACTTCTCCTAGAATTGCCTCGATGTTGAGATAAACAAGGAGAAATCTATATATCATTGTTATTAAACAACCTGGGCTTCGATTGCCAAAGTGCTTGGTGTTTCTACTTGCATTTCTGATATTGTCTCCGGAATTATTTTCATAATATCGGTCCGCAACTCATTGTCCATCAAAGTGGGCTCTGGATCCCTATCCAGCCTCTCCTCCAGATATC